GTGAGATTGATATTTAAAAATTTCTTCTTACAACATGTTGGGATTGACCCAATAAGCAGGACCACCACCCCATAGCATGTCATGTAATGTCAAGCAGCAAACAAATTGCTTTCCGAAACTGATTTGTATTTTGTTCTCTTGATAATTAGTTACTGAGGCCCCAATTTTATATCTTCTTGTCATATTTGAAAAACATGTTTTTGGTGACAATATTGTAACTCGTAAATAAATCCGGTCCATCTTGTAGGTTATTATCAGCTGGGCGTGAGCTTGAAAGAGATTTGGGCTTGCAACTGGTTGGTGATTTGGGGTTTTCGAAGAGATATGTCCGTTGCTTGCAGGTCTGTAAGAGAACTTGTTTTAATTTGTCTATTTTCACCTGAATTCTACTCAGGATCTTCTGTATTCTGTGTTCATTACCTGACAGATTGCAGACATATTCAACTCCATGAAAGACTTAATGACTTTCAGCTGGGATAATCAAATTGGACCAATTGGTAAGTGATATCTACTGTTTTATGTCTTTGCCTGTCATCTTAAAAGGTTAAAACTGAAAACCCTTGGAAATAGCTGCTTGAGCCATACAAATCTCTGTTTTTCTTCTAATGTTGCCTTGTAAACTTTAATGTACTTGTTAAGGCAGTTTCCAATTGATCCTTGCGAAGTCATTTCTGATGTAAAACCTAAAATGCAGAGAGCTTGAAGAAATATACCCAGCAATTTTCAACAACCGAACTCCACAAAGATGAATTGCTAGAAAAAGAGCAGATCGAGGTCCTTCAAGGTTTGCCAACTGATCCAAATAAGTTGTCTGCTTCTCATGCTCTTGGTGGCAACAGCAATGATAACTCGAACATGAGTAAGGGTGCTCTATTGAATATCTCTGATGTGTCATGCCACTATATATATCCATCACAAACTCGCATCAACTCGAAAATGGGTGAACTGGAGCAGACGTCACTTTTATACAAAAGGTGTGGAAGAAATGCATCTTCCACACCATCTCAAGGTCCCAAGACTTCGAGTGCAGAATTCATCCAGGAGTTTGAGTTTCCTGTTCTCCATTCCTCTGGGGGTGGCCAGCATAGACGGGAACATAAAGTCCAAAATTTGCTCGAGGAGATCATCATTAGGGCTGAGAATGAAGCAGTTAACGCTAAGATAGGTAATATTATATCTGGCTTGCAAACAGGTGCCAAGGGCAAGATGCTGCTACGGATGGGATGACTTATGGTCACAACATGTCGCTGCTCGATCCTTCAGGAAATGCGTCAAGTATTATTATGGCAAATACCTGTGTTCTTGACTCCTAATACGGATTCTTCCAAGGTTGGTGACAGTGCTGGTTTCATCAACTTTTCCACGAAGGCACTAGTTTCCTGAGATCCTGAAAGTGCTTCAAATGGTAATAAGATTTTTTTATGTTGTGGCAGCATGGGCTATGTGGTTGGGATGGTTGTAAGTGTTTTTTTTTTTTTTGGTACTTCCTGTTCCATCCTTCTCGGGGGTGATTCAATATAAAATACGTACGTATAGTAGTTTCTTTCGCAAGTGCTTTTGATAGTAGTTGCAGTTTCGTGAGCAATTAACTTGATTAGGAAGATTAGATGCTGTGATGTCAACATGAACTGTTAGCTACCCCGAAGTCTAAACCTTGCCCTGGAAATGAAATATGGTACCATACTGTTTTAATCACATCCCTGTCTGTTTGCCATGTTAAGTTTTGTTCAGGTTTGTCAAGATAAGCATGGCACCATGCATGAATTACATGCCGCAGAAAGCCAACGCTGAATTGCAACTGGCCTCAATGTTTGTTTACGACCCTGGATTTGTTGCATACCTAGGCTCTCTTCTCTTTACCTATTTCTAAGTATGTATTACTATTTCGTAGCTGATAACCAACGTTCGGATCACAGAACTTGTTAAGATGTGAAATTGCTGTGCCTGGTCTTTCTGTACATGTGGTTAACGGCGCCATCACCGTGGACTCGATGCAAGGGAACAACGAAATTTTGGGTTTGAACTTCGTAGAGTGATTTGGTTCTGTTATAGGGCTGACTAGACAGAGACATGGGATTGCGGTGCGATTTTCTCTCTCATAAAAAACGATAAAGATGTTTATGTGGTTCAAACGCATTTCAAGAAAATAAGAAAAAACAAACAATTATTTCTTCCCCGACGAAAAAATTCAAATTACTCCTTTCCTACCTAATCGAGGGTTATAGTTTCTTCTGGGTTTAATGTTATAGTTTTTATTGGGTTTAATAAGTTAATTTTATTTTAATTAGATGATAAAATAAAAACTTAGCAATAATGGAAAACAAACATTTAAAAAAAAATTAATACCACAATGACTTGGAAAAAAATAACTTAAAAATTAATTAAAAAAAAAGAGAGAGGAGAGGTTTAAGTGAATTTGAGATAGTATGATAAACATATAATATGAATAATAAAGGATAAAATAATCTATGTTAACCTTTAAAAGCAGTGGATTATGTTATAAGATTGGAATAATTTAATAAAAAAAATTTAAAGTCATTTTAAAAAAAAAACTAATGTTGATCAATGAGATTGAAAAAGATAAGTTATAGAAAAAGACGTTGAATTACATTATCTTTTTAAAACCGTGATCTTAATCATTAAAGAAACCTGATTTTTTTTTATTAAAAGGTTATATTGAAAAGAAAAATAAATCTAAAAATAAATAAAAAAAATAAGAATCAAATTAAAAAAAATAATAAAGCATAAACTTAGATTGAAGAATAAAATTGATAACATTAAAACTTTTACAAAAAAGTCAAGAAAAAGAATAGAAATTAAAAATGATCAAATTAAAAAATCTTATACACAAAAACCACACCACAACCCACACATGTCATATCGAGAGAGAAAAAAATGATCAAATTAAAAAATCTTATACACAACCCACACATGTCATATCGAGAAAAAAAAGATGCGGCGACACATCCAATAACACGATGTAATGACATTTTATATCACTAGAAAGTGTCACATACGTTGTCCATGTGACGCAGGTACTTTCCACACAATTATATATGTATTATATGTACAAATAATTTTTAAAAATTAAATAATATTTAAAGAAAAAATCATTGATTATCTTGATAATTAAAAAAAAACTAAAGAAAAAGACTAAAAGGCTCACGAACTAAGATTTATATTATTTTTTTTATTTCAAGGATATACATGTAATTGTACATAAATGAATGAATGAAAAGACAATCAGGTGTTATAAATTTTTATTTTGGGAACAATTAAATTATTTTATTATGCTTAAAAAAATAGAAAATACAATTATATTTCTTGAAAATCCTTTCATAACTAATACATGGTAAAAATACCTCAAGAATAATGACAAATGTTTTTTAAAAAATCACAAAACCATTATTTTACCAACGCGGTGAATACTAAACCAAGTCGCACGATATTTTCGCGAGTTTTTTTGTTTTATATATTATTATTTTTAGAGGCTTATGCAGTGGAATCTCCCTCGTATTTGATGTTTCGATCTACTCTTTCTTGTCTTGACACGTTATTCGCCACACATTTTTTAATTGTCACTCTTATTACAGCTCATATAGTATGAGTGAGGGAACATTTTTTGCCATCAACATTGATGAATTTGCCAGAAAGACTTGGCAAATTGTTCTTTCTAACTGGTGCAGTGTTTCTATCTATGATGGATCCCTAAATGAAATCCAGCCGTGAATTATACGAGACAAAGAAGTACTGATAAGTGCAATCTGTGTGCAAAAATATCTCGTAAAAGCCAAGGAAACTTGCGAGTAACATCACCGTCTTGTCCCCCTCGCCAACTGGCATTGTTGTCTGGCAACACAAAACCTAAAACCGGCGAAGGCTGCAGGTGCTCTGCGATAATCATTTCCTTTCTCCCTTGGTTTCTCTTAATGGTTTCAAATTTAAGCATAGAAGCAAACGTTCTTGTAATATTCGCCCACAGAAAGCCAAAATGGATGGTCCATGAAGCTATTTTTACAACCACAAAAAGAGCAGTGAGCATTTCCTCGAGGAAAGAAACGAAGAAGAAATACAAACTTCATCAACTAGCTAAACCAATGACAATATATACATTGGCTTGGGAACAATCGATACAAGGGCTGAAGAACCAACCAACTAATAATACTAGATTCCGCTTCATCTTAAAGATGTGTCCTAGCTCACCACGAGGGCAGAACATCCTCTCTACTCTAAAAGGTTAAATGAAGTTTAAAAATGCTTCAACCCTTGTCTCAATTTACATGGATATACTAAAACAGAGTCCAAACACAGACCACCTTTGGTGTGTGTACAGTCTATCTGTGTCATAGAGAACTTGAGCTTCGTTGATGCATTGGCGCCATCAACCACAAAATCCCCAGCATGGTAGAGGTTCCATTTCCCAGGATCGTTCAAAAAACACTGGGAAGAGGCATGCTGACCATCTGAAGTCCATATCTGAAACTGCACAGGTTTTATTTCCCAACCATGGACATGCTCAGTGTTACAGATGCGTCGGCCAAACCTCTTAGCAGCCCTCCCTAATTGTAATCTGAAGAATAGGCTATAGGTCCCAGCTGGGAATGGGAACTCAAATTGCCCATCAACCTCAAACCACCAGATTTGCTGAAGATATGCAACTGAGTTGAACCTACAGGAAAAACAAAGGAACTTTGGATCAATTCCAGTGCTATTTTGACTACATCTATATGGGAAATAATCACCAATTTGATCACAAACATAGAAACAACCAATCGAATGAACATCAACCCACTTATAAAAAGCATAATATGGATGCAAAGTGTCAACAGAAACAAAGATATTAGCATCCTTTAATCCAACCAGAATTACCAAGTGAAGAAGCAGTGGCTACGAGAAGGATAAAAACATTATTGGATCTTGGAATTATCATCCACACACACAAACAAACTGCAAAATCATGCATAGTTAAGAAAGGAGCGATACACCTATCCAATCTGCTAAATCAGATGCAAGTCTCAGCCATGTATGCCACTTAATTGTTTCAAGAAGGAATGCAGAAAAATTAACTTAGGTCCAGGGTCCTTCCTCGTTGACCATATTCTATGGAGGAGAAAAAAGATGAGGATTCTTAGGGTTTGGGGCAGCTAGGCAACCAGAGCAGGTTCGTTAGTGACAAGTTGTTCAATAACTTGGGGCTTAAGGGATATAATTCTGTAAATTACATTATCAAATTATGCTCCCCAGTCACATTATTGGTTTCCCGCTCAGGGTCAAAAGAATCTACTTCTACATTAAAAAAAAATTCCTGATGCCAGGAAATGGAAGTTATAAAAACTCTTGACATAATCCAAAACCCACTTACCCCTTGAAGATCCAATCAAATTACCTCCAAGCTCATAAGGTACACAACTACAAATAGTTGCTGGATTCCAAATTCTCACACATCATGGACTAGAAATCTTTGAACAATGAAAGATACTTAAAAAACCTCTTTGAAGAAGTTCGACAAGAAAATGCCTCGATCAACTTGGACTTGACCAGCCAGTCTAACAAATAAATAATGAAAAACTGACCATTGCAATTCTAATCAAAATTCCAGCAAAAGTTTCGGTAATCACACCTAGATTCCTCTGTTAGAATATGATTCCAATATCTTCGATCATCGATTCCTGTTATCGCTAACCCCTTGGAAGCAATGGATATGCAGACACCTCTTGTTCTCTTATCTAGCCATGCTTTCTGCACAAATGAAAATTTTTAATACACCAAGTTAAAAGGCCAGAAGAATAAAACCTGACAGAATTGAACACTCAAAATCAATAACCGTCCTGTCGTCTCACAATCACGATACATTTCTATGTAATTGAAAATTTCAAAATCAAACCAGCAAAAGATCCCTCCCGGTAGTAAATAAAGTCATCAATCCTATCTTTTCCCTCCGTTAAATTTTCTCATCCACCAATACAAACATAATAAGGAAAAGAAAATCTGTATCAGGGTTCCACAATTAAGAAAGCATGCAAATTCCATTACTAGTTGCTTCAAGAACCAGAGAGGAGCCACCACTCAAAAGGAAACCTTTTTGTCAAAGTTTCCATTTTTAATGTACTGAATAACAAAATACCAAAAACCAGAGGTTATTTCCTCTCATAATCCAAACAAATAAAAGCTAAAAGATCGTACCTTGGTGCCATCATCAAAAGCGTTGGCTCTACAAAGCCTAGTATAAATCTCTCTCTTACACAACTTATCTTTCAAATCATCACCCAAAACTCTTCCAATCAAATCTTCATAATTCACAGGCAATTTTGACTCCCAAACAAAATCAGCCCATGAAGCACCACGAAATGCTCTGTTTAATCTAGCCAATTTACAAATCTCTTGCGGGTTTAAATATTCAAGAATTAAAGCCACACAACCCTCTGGTAAATCTCCAAGACCAGGCTTTGTTGCTGGTGGCGATGATATTTGTAAGCATAGAGACCCAAGAAGAGAACAGGTGTTGGGGTCTGTAAAGGTTAACGAAAGATTAGCACCCATCAAGAAAAAATACAGAGCATAGCAAAGACAGAGGAATCCCAAAAACGGAGAGAAGGGCTAGAAAGTTGTGTGGAATTAAGAGATCAGATGAAAGGAAACAAAGGAGAGTTGTCAGAGGAACATAAAGGAAGCCTTGAAGAAAAGACGCGTATCGCGGGTAATATGTATGTATGCACACACATAGATGGAGATTTATTTGTTTGTTTGTTTGTTTTGATGACAGAAACAGCCAGAGGAAAGACGGGAAAACACAAAGCAAAATACAGTTGTCTGTTTTTGACGGG